GCAGACAGATGTTGGGTGACGAGGTCGAGCCCGAAGAAAAAGTTTGTTCTGCTGCAGACGACCCTGAGAAAAAGACTCCATCTCTGGAGGTCACGGCACAGAGTTCACTCATATGTAAGCATCGCAGGACGTATGTAAACACTGCTTCTGTTTGTTTAAGGGGCTCGGAATAATGTTTACTGAAATTGCAACAATTTTCCCTCCTCTTATGAATTCCAAGTTCTGCCAGTTGATCCTCTTGCTTACACTCTTCACTCCCAAGCGGTGATCGTCCAGTAATGTCTTAGCAACCATGACGAGGCCTGCCAAGCTTTAAGTGTCTCCACATGCTGAGGTGGTGAGACGGGAGAATAAAAAACACAGACATGATGACAACTACTGATGGGATGTTCCCAGCTGACTCACTTCCTAGTCTGTTAAACCCAAACTTAAAGGCAGGGTTGGTCATTTCCTCCAGATCACTTCTTCAGATTCTGGTGTAAATTGTCTTTAGGTGCTGACAGAAATTAATAACTCATGTTCTCTGAAAAAGGATCAAAGTAAATCCATCATCTGTATCAGTTTGTAAGTCTGTAAAAACTTTGACCAATGTCTGCCACGAGGTACCAATCTGATGAACCAATCAGACGCCTCCCTGTCTCCCTGCTCGCTCTCTACCTCTTGCGTGCTCTAGCTCACACTCAAAGAGCGTCACCGATGACTTTAGGAGTTTAAACTGAGAGTTTACTGACCGCTGAATGAGACATGAGACGACGTAGTTTCTACACAATGACAGAGATGAGCTGAGGTCCACTTCTGGATGTAAGTGAGGGGGCGTGGCTTTAGAGGGAGCACAGAGGGGAGGGGCTGGGTGCAGACGGAGCACTGAGGGAAAGCTACTTTCAAAATCATGCTCGTTTTTAGAAAATGACCAACCTGAGAGCAATTCTGTTTCACCCAAAAGTCTACAGGAAAGAAAACAATCAGAAAACAGTCACAAATTTAGCACAATTTTATAAACCTTTTGGCTGGTAAATTTTGTAATTTTGTTTCCTGAGTGTGGCTGACGTGCTAGCACCGCCGATCCATCCTGCAGCTTAACGTCCACATGCTCGTGTTAAATGTTGTTACACATTGCTCTGGTTGATGTGCAAGTTTAATTTAAGACAGCCTGCAGACAATTTCACCTCCATTTTCTAGATCAAAAGATTGCCAAAGTGCGCTGCTCCTACGAGATGCCTTGTGTTCCCCTGTGCTTGTTTACATCCTGTTAGTAGAGTGAGGAGAGCAGAACCGCTAACCGGAGCTACTACCAGCCTATGGCTACAGACCCAGCTGGTAGCGGGCGACTTAGCATCACTGACTGGTAACTGTTGTAGCGACTTGGAGGTGATGAAGTTTGAACTGTTTAGTTGACTAAACGCGCTCTTCTCAAAGGACAGCAGCTCTACACTTCGGGGTTGCACAGACTTGTTGTCGAGTTGACTTTACAGATGTGTGATGACGCTTTACGCCTGATGTCGACTAATAGCTTATCAGGTTAGAAAATCGAACACTGTGATTGAACACGTCTATGACCGTGAGTTGGAAAAAACGCCATGTTTTGTTGCATACTTAACAGCTGTTGTTTCTTTACATGTGAACGTTCTACTTTCAGCAATATACGTATTACCTTATGCAATTAAATATTTTAGCTGTATGCAAAGCATTCCCTTCTCCTGTGGTTTTATTGATGACATCATCAGCGACTAGTCGACATCGACTCGACTATTATAACATGACTGTCGACTTCAAAACATCTGAAGTCTACCACCTTACCAAGTTATGCTTTTTCAGTTAGGATTGGAAAACAATGGATGGAGAGTTAAAGCTTCATTGATGACATGAAAACACACTTACGACGGAGGATTAGGGCCACGTTAAAATTGTTTTATTTTTTTAATTTCAAGATTAAAGTCGTAAATTTACGAGATTAAAGTCGTAAATTTACAAGATTAAAGTCGTAAATTTACGAGATTAAAGTCGTAAATTTAAGAGATTAAAGTCGTAAATTTAAGAGATTAAAGTCGTAAATTTACGAGATTAAAGTCGTAAATTTCTTATTAGTGAAAAAGTTAGGACAAGATGCTCCATGTTTGTCATTTGAGAACAGGATGCTGCTGCTCTTCTGATGTAGACTAAAATAACCACTTTATTCTTTTATTCTTTAAAGACTTTAAGACTTCTACTTTCATCATTTTCGCGTAGGCTGGTCTCGAATTTGTTAATTTACGAGATTAAACTCATAAATTTACGACTTTAATCTCGAAATGTAATTTTTCTTTTTTTTTTAACGTGGCCCTAATCCTCTGTCGTACACACTTTTTGAGTTTGAAGTGAATTTTTGGGAGAAGTTTCCCCGTAGTTCCTCAGCTGAGTCGCAGATGTTTTTAAATTGTGAAAGCGATGATATGATGAAACAAACCTTCAGCTGTTGTCTAGAAAAGGATATGACGGAGAAACAAAGAGAGGGAGGGGGCGAGTGAGACAAAGGGGCAGCAGCAGTTAGCTGTACGTATGGACTTCTCTCTCTTCCTGTTTTACTCTCGTCGTGTCTTAGCAACCAAAGCTTGAAAGACAAAAAAAAACCACACTTTGTTCCCGCTTAAAGGTCTCTTTCATCAACCCGAGTGTGATGAGAAAAACAACACTTCCTCACAATCCTTCTAAGAGAATTAATATCCTGCGGTGTGAATCCGTTTGCTCCTTCAAACAAAAAGCTTTACATTTATTTTTTCATGTTGGAGATCATGACACAGCCTCTTCACCTTTTGGGATGCAAAACCTTTCCATTCATGGACGTATACGATATTATAATCAATGCATGGCTGATGAAAGCAGCAGGGTAAATGATTGCCCTTAATGTGCTTCCACTTGTGTTGTTTTTTTTCACAGTCGAGGCCTCGTGGTCTCGTATTTGAGACCACATGTGAATATCTCAGAGTTTGCCTTGGCTTTGGCTCTTGCAGTATTTATGACTCGACCTCTGGGGCGGTGACCCGAGTGGCAGTTTTATTATTATTATTTTTTTCTGCTCTTTCATCGTTGCATTTGCCCGCGTAGGATATACAACTCTTCCTGCTCCTTTGTTTCTCTGTTTGTTTGAGTAGCTGTAATTATACTTTACTGTGTGTGTGTGTGTGTGTGTGTGTGTGTGTGTGTGTGTGTGTGTGCCAGTATAGAAATTTTGTCTTTCATGTGTGGTGGAGTTTGAATCAGAAATACTTTATTAATCCCAGGGGGAAATTTGTTTGCTACAGTTGCTTATAACACCAAAAATCAGCAGGAAGTACAGATAAGTTTCACAATATAAAATAAAAATAGTATAACAATATAATAAGCATAAGTACCAAGTGAAAGCAATAATAAAGTAGAATACACACTGATGGATTAACAGCGTAGATATTGCACGGTTCATGTATAGATTGCACTTTTGATGTATAAATATTGTCCAGTTTTCAACAGATTGCACAGTTTTAGTAGAGAAATAGTCAAGGTAATAGTCCAGGAAAATTGCAGACTCAGTGTCTGACTCTCAAATGGAAGAGTCGTTGAAGGGCGACAGCAGGACTGAATGTTTACTTTACTTCCTGTATTTGCATATTTAAAAAAGTGACAGTTAGGGCGTCGGATAGCCTAGCATAGTAGCGGTTATCTCGAACGCCTCCATGTGCAGAGCCTACAGTCCTCGTCTTAGGGACCTTGGGTTAGAATCCGACCTCGACCTGTTTCTGCATGTCATCCCCCACTCTGTCCTCCAGACATTTCCTCTCTCTCTTTAGCTGTCCTGTCTAAAATGGCCCAAAAAAAACATGTAAAGATGCCAGGTTATAGCTGTAGGCTGATTTCCATCTCTTATTGCCCCGATATGTGGATGATACACTCGTATACAAATGAACGTGGAACCCCCCACACGGGTCACACAACAATGCATGCAACTCTTAGCAGGGATGCATTTGTTAATATATTAAAGAGGACATATTATACCCCCTTTTTCCATCTTTTCAAACAGTCCCCTGTAGTCTAAATGAAACATCTGTGCTGTGCTTTAGTTAAAATATAACATGAATCAAGCACCAGAGGAGGTTTGTGACCCTGTATGAACCAGCTCTCTCCGTTTTGGTGTGTGTGTCTCTTTAAATGCAATGAGCAATTCTGCCTGGTTTCTGTTGTCCACACACAGATGTAGTTTGGTCATTACAGCTTGGACTACAGACAGAAACCAGAACCCTTCACCTGCTGAAACCCCCCCCCGTGCCACTCTGATATCACCCTCGGGAGCTGGGTGAACATTGGACTTGGATATACGTACAGGCAATAAAACATGACTCCAAATAAATAACGGTGTTGCTCTGTAACTACAGGATGTGTCAATGATTCACTGTTTGCTACTTAGCTCGCCAAAGTATTGCAGGTTGAGTCTATTAGTCATCTGTGTAATGTATTGTGTTTTCAGACAATACACTCCCTGTCTTTTTGAGTGATCTTAAATATCTCAAAGTGCAGCAGCATCGTCATATTATAACCTGCTGCAAGAAGAGAGGGAGCAGTGATGGTACGCTTACATTCACAGGGTCGGAAAATACTTAAATGGTGCCAATGTATTTGTGCAATTCAGAGTTCAGGAGCGTGCTTGCAGAGCGGGATTTTCTGGCACAACCTCACCAACTACCACAGTGCATGAAGAGTGAAAGACTTGAAGAGGTCAAAAAGCTGCAGCAACACTTGTAGTATGAAGAGCAACTTTATTAACTTTATTAGTCCGACGCATTTCAGCTGGTGGATTTCATCAGGGTCATGATGGCTGACTTCATCAGGGTCATGACGTGAGCCGTGACGGTCATGACCCTGATGAAGGATGACTGATCCCTAACCACTTCCTGTTTCTGTGGTTGAGTTAATTTCCTAACCTTCTATCTATACCAGAAGCGCCTTAATTTACATCAAAATAAAAGCGCGGTGTGTGTGTGTGTGTCTCTCACCTGTTTTCTGTCTGATCTCTGCTTTCACAACACAACACTGTTGGTAGTGTCCACTGTGTGTGAGGGTGGAAAAGAGGGGGGGGGGGGGGGGGAGGTCAGGTTTGATGCTGCTCTCGGGAGCTCTCTCTCTCTCTGCGTGTCTGTGCTGCGGGCGATCAGGGAGGGAGGTATGCTAGGTGAAAGGGCAGAAGCTGCTGCCAAGAACTGCAGTGTGTGTTTGCTCCCTGCTGTACACACACACTCACACACACACACAGAGCTAACGGCTCACTGAGAGCTTTACATGTAATCAAACAGGCATTTAAAGGGCTCACACCCACTTTTAAAGTCACTGCAGATGTTCTGGATGGGCAGACGTTCATCTCCTCTCCCCCCTGATAACATCTTCTAAAATCTGATACACTTGAAGCAGGAAGTATGGGATCACTGATTACAACATGATCTTCTCTAAATTGGCTGGTATTGATGGCCGAGCTTAGTCCATAAAAAAAAAATGAAAAAAATCTGATCTTACTCTGCAGCTTTGGCTCCCTGCACAGTTTTCATTGGATCACATTTCTGTTGTGGTGTATCCACAGAGCCAGGAGGATGAAGGCGAAAGGTTGCAAGGATTCCAGGCTTTTCTGTTTGTTTGTTGTGTGTTGGGTTGTCAGGTTGTACTCTGTGTTACCTTAGTCTGTGTTCAACCCTGGCAGGAAAAAAAACACTGTTTTGTATTTGTCAGTGAAGATTAAAAGAAGTCTCTTATTTTTCATTTTGCCTGTTTTTCTCTTTCTGAAGTATGGCTGCAACAACAGTCATCCTATGGCTAAATACGTATAATTGATACTCCATGTTTGCATCATCAGTAAATGTAAAAGTAAAGACTTGCACTTTCCTGGACCGCAGACTTTGACCCAGAGCGATGATAAGAGAAACCTGATGGCTGATAATCTTATCTCAGTTTGTTGCTAGAACGTCACACGACTGCGCTGATAAATACGATCTGATTCGTCTTTAAAACAAACAAACAAAAAAACACAGACATGCTGTATAACTTCTCTTATCTGAGGTTTTTAAAAGCGTATGAACAAAAAGCCTTAAAGCTCCCGTTATGAAGATTCTGTTTGTGACGATTACGACGATTCAAATGATTTTAAACCCTTCAAAACACAACATCCAACCCATCACGACAAAGGGAATAAAGAAGCATTAGCCTCATTCAGACTGCTGTTTCAAGCCGCCATATTTACATCCCTGTGGCATTTCTCCTTCAGTCCATGTACTGTCTTCAGAGTAAGTAGTGTTGATGTTGCTTTAAACTTCATTTCTTAAAGGTCACATATCCTCCTCCTCTTCTTCAGTGTAAATAAGTCTCAGAGCTCCTCAAAACATGTGTGTGAAGTTTCTTGTTCTAAATCCACTCTGATCCTGTATTTGATCATGTCTATAAACCCCTCTATTTCAGCCCTGCTCAGAACAGGCTGTTTCTGTGTCTGTACCTTTAAATATGTAAATTAGCTGTGTCTGACCACGCCCCCTCTCTGGAAGGGCTTGGGTGTACTCGGTCTTTCTCGCTCCATGTTCTATTGTTTACGGTGAGAAAGCAGACTCAGAGGGGAGAACAAACACCTAGCTGTGGGAGTGTCACCCACCTGGGGGAGGGGCTACTGCCCTTTGTGATGTCATGAAGGGAACATCTCCAAACGGCCTGTTTGAGCACACGTTTTCTGAAAAGTGGAGCAGGCAGAAGACGGAGAGGATGGACTTTTGTCATCATTGGGGGGTTTGTAGACGGACTAGGGACACATGTTAGTGTTAGAGGTGTTAGTGTTATTTGGCATAATTAAAAATGTCTTCAATTGTGATGGTGCAGCCCGATTTATTGCCCGATTTGGTATTTTCTTCGAACTCAGTTGAGATCTCTAGTATTGGATTTATTTACATTTGCTGAATCCTGATTGAATGCTTTGCCCGGACTTCTTCTCGTGTTCTTTCTGAGAGTTTTAAGAGGTTATGTAACAGACCTGCTGCACATCATGACATCTTCATTGTTGTTCTGCACATAAAAATAATCTCATACCGTCATACCTCCATGTTAATGTTGCTGGAGTTTGTTTACTCTTTAGGTAACGTGTGTGTGTGATCTGAAATCTTAAGAAGCAGAAGATGCAAATGAAACACTTTGTCATCACTTCATCTCGGCCTCATCTGTGCCTGCTGGCTGAATATCAGGCGGTGGGTGTGTGGATCACTTTGTTTTCACTGAGGCAGACTGTAACAGCTCCAGTGTTGCAGGGCGGCTGAATCGTGGTCAAACAAGAGATGCAAAACAAACTCTTGCAGGGTGTTTTCACATTAGGCACGATACAGCAGGTCGCAGTATGCACATAGTCGGTTTGCAAATCCGCCCAAGAAGCAGAAAGAAGAAGAAGTAACCATGGCAACCACTCGCTGACTGAGTCCGTCCTGCTTACTGTGGATGTTTTTGTGATTTCTGAGACGCCAACAACGACCCTCTTCCTGCTTCCACAACTACTGGAGGATGAAACGGCGGCGTGCTGCCTGGATACGACTGTTTTTGAAGTGACAGGCGCCCTTTAGAATGACGTCCATACATCGGTCCACTTCCTTGTTTTAGCAGGGATGAGTTCACATCTCAAGTACATATGAATCGTGTCTGAGACCAACTCTTGAAGCGGACTCGGGTACAGTATCTGAGTACAGAGTACATTAACTGGACTTTGGGGTCTAGCGTTCTCAGATCCGGGCTCGGGTCTCCAGTGTGAACCCACCCTAAATGATACGTTTCTAAAGCTTCTAGTGAGGAAACGACTGCTCGCTTCCTTCTCACCTCGAACATTTATCTGATCGAGTGTGACACTGTTGTGGAAAACTGTTCATTCAGGCTTCTTTTCTCTGAGCCCGGCAGGAGGTTATATAATAAAACAAAGCAGCACATCTCAAGTGTCCACTCTCTGTTTGAGCCCTCTGGACGTAAACAGAGTCGCTGTCTGTCTGTGTTTGGACATGCTGCGGCCGAGGTGTGATGTATCAGTCCTCCATACTGTTAACACACTCACTGTTTGGTTTCCTGTCCTAATGTTCAGCCGGCTCGACCTACAGCAGACGGTCTGAGGGGCTTCCTATACCCTTCAGTCATGTGGTCTGAACATTGTCTTTTGGATTATTGTTGAAGAGTGAGAAAGTCCAGGAAAATGGCCGACTCATTTCTCATTAGAAACATACACAGTATACTGTCATTATATATATGTTGCAGATTATTTCAAAGACTTTACAGGATTCATGCAGAGAAACTTTTCGTCCTGCAGTTAAACTTATTCTACTTTGGAGAAACAATGATGAGCAGTGCTGCAGAGCTCTTGAGAGCTCCAGCATCTCTCTGTGTTTATATCTGCGATCAAAAGACTCCATAGATCACAGGATGATTAAGACTCTCTGATACTGAAGACCCACTTTGAGGCAGGGAATTTCTGATTTGCTCAGACAGGACCAGGAAGTGCTGATTCCAGGAGGCCACCATGTCTTCTTTTTTTGTCTTCAGTCTGGGTCGAGTCACTCTCATGTTTGCATTCTCTGAGAGGTCAGGGCGCCCTTCAAAGTTGTCCTTTACAGCACCGGGGGTCATGAATCATCTCAGAAAAAAGCAGAGGGTATTTCCTTCCACTGAGCCGTGGATATCTTTGTGTTCTCAGGGAGGGCCTCTTCCTCACCGCCGGCCATTGTTGTGAGGTCTGAGCTTCTCGCAAAGGTCATTATCTTCTGACAATACAACAGACTGACTCTCCCTGTGGTGATAGTCTAATCCACTGTGTTGTGTGTTTCAAACGGATCATTTCTTTGACGCAGACAGATTGGCTCTTGTCTCTAGAGCCTTTCCTAAAAATGCATCTTTTTTTAGATACTTTGTTTATCCCTGAGAATCCAATCTGACTGTCTTTATAAAGCACATTTCAAATCAACAAAAGTTGACCAAAGTGTTGCACACTCAAACACAGACGATGTAAAAAGTAAGTGCGATTTACGGTTTGGTTTAAAAACAGGCGGTGTGGAGGGCAGACCAACATGTGGAGGTAAAGTGTTCCAGTGCTTTTGGTGCTGTTTCTAAAAAAAGGCTTGGTCGTCCCTTGCGTTTCAACCTCGACCCTGGGACAGTCGGAAGCGATATGTTGATCTGAGTGATGAAAGACAGGGTTTCAAAAGGTCAGAGGTCAGGTATTGAGACATCACACACATGCTGTAGGCCTGAAATACACACATACACAAACAGAACATATGGACGTGCACTAATGGAGAGATTTCAGAGTGAGGGGACTGCACACAGGGGGCGCCCCTGACCTGTTTGAGGTAGTTCAAGCAACCAGACCAACGTCCATGTTGGTCCATACTGAGATTTGAATTGGTGACCCTCCGGTTACCAACCCAGAGTCCCTTTACAAACCATCTCTGACAATATTTCTGTCCATCCATTATCCGTTCAGGGTTGCCAGGGGGTTGAAGCCGATCCCAGCTGTCATTGGGGGAGAGAAGCGTGGTTACACCCTGGACTGTTTGCCACTCAATCAAATCACACTCACATTCACACCTAAGGGCAATGTTCAGTCACATCTACATAGGCGCTCCAGATAATGGCCTATTTCTAAGACTGTTTGGTCTCTAGTGGTCTCTGGGTGTGGCAGCCTTACAAGTCTTAGATCAAGAAACTGACCCACAAAACTTATTTTGTTTGCCAAACATCATTTGAGGAAAGTCCTGGAAATCCCCACGCTCCATCACTTGGGGAATTCAATTCTAGATGTGCAGTTTTATTTTTCATAGTGGTGCATAAATCCTTCCGCCATCATGGAAAGCCTAAAGGCAGTTTTACAAAAGTAGATTTTGAGGTTTTTGTTTCGATCAAACTTGAGTCTCCGGAGATGTTGAAACTCGTCTGTCTCAGTTTTATCCTCTGTAAAACTTAAATGGAAAGAATTCTGTGATCCACTTTTTTTTTACAGCAAATGGATTTTATTGTGGAGAAGGACGGTGGATAGAGTGGCAAACTTTGGGAGGGAGTGGGGAAGGACATGCACTGAAGTCCTCGAGTGTCAGAGTCTTACCTGGGTCACCACACTCCTGATTTTTATTTTACACAAGAGGCAT